GGGTCCCGGGCGGGCCGCGCCCCGAGCTGGGGTGAGTCCCTGCGGCTCCGGGCCCGCGGGGGCCCTTGAGCCCCTGACGCCCCCGCGAGCTTCCCCAGCTGGGTCCCCGGAGGGCCTGGGTCGCGAAGGCCGGCGCCCTTGGGGGTAGTGGGTGGGCGTCCCCAGGCCCGCGGAGCCGGCGCCCGTCGTGGTCGCTAGGAGGGGCCGCCCGTCCCGGCGCTGCGCGACCACAGCGGCCCTCCGCTGGAGGAGGGGGCGCCCAGGCCGCAGGTCCCGCGGGCCCGAGACGCGGACGCCGCCCAGGATTGGGGTCTCGCCACCCCTCTTCCTCGTAGGAGGTGGTGTGGCGGGCGCTTTGTTTCGTTTTGGTCACCTGTGGACATTCCGGGGAAATGAGGCGAGGAAGGAACCCTGACTTTCTAACTGTCGGCCTCCCTCCGTTGCTAGGCAAGACCTGAGGTCGGAACCCGAGTGGGCTTGGGCACAGAGCGTATCGACCCTAGGAACCCAGGTCGGGGAACCTGTCACCTTTGGCAGCGCCCTGGCGCACCTGCCGGCGCGTGCCCTTGGTTGTCCCGGGAGGGGGAGCGGGCCCTGTGGTTTCTGCGGGCTTATTCGTAAGCTTCTGGAGTGGTTTCGGGTAGAATTAACCAGCCTGGCGGCAGGGGAGAGCGCTGGGGGAGGAGCCGGCAGTGGCGCGGGGGGACTAGCTCAAGGTCACGGGGCGCTCGGCCGGACCCGGACAGGTAGGGGGCGGGGTCGGGCTCCCCAGGAAGGTTCCACACTCGCTGTCTCTGGGCCACTTCGGCCCTGCAAGGTCGACTCGTGTCCCCCCCCCCCCCAGCAGTGCGGCTCACCGCTGGCCGGAAGACCCTCGCGGACGGCCACTATGCCTAGCAGGGAGGCTTTTGAGTGTGCGAACCCTCAGATTTTCCAGGGGCACCTGCAAGACTACAAAGTGTGCCCCACCCACGGGAGGACGCGGGGTGGATTTCCAGGAAACCCACTCTGACTCGGGTTGCCGGGCAGAGCCGCGCGCCTGCTGACCCGCGCTGAGGCCTTTCACTGACGGGGACCTAATATGCAGTGTCACACCAGAGCCATGGGGAGGTGGGAGGTAGCCTCAAGTTCGGCCGGGGAGCACCTGCGTGGCCTCGGACCCCCGCCTCCTGCCGGACACCTTTGCGCATGTGCTGGCGCGGCTCCAGGCGACCTCTGCCCCGCCACGCCCGCCCTCTGCCCACCTGCGGGCGGCTAGGGGTCGGGCACTGGCCGTTCCCTGCGGGGCCGCCTGCCCCTCCCTTCCTCTCTCCCGGGCGCGCCCCGCTGCGGAGCCCAGGTGTGGCCCAGGTGTGCGGGAGGGCGGGAGAGGGGGAGGTGGAGGCTCGCCGCGCGGCCATATTTGGCAAAGTCGGCCCGTGCCCCGCCCGTCGCCTGGAGGTCCGCGGCCACCCTGAGTCACCGGGCGGACGTAACGGACGGGGCACCCGACTGCTCCTCGCCTTATTTAGTCAAGCAGGCCGCCCATTGGCCCGCGGGACAAAGGGCGTCGGCGGGGAAGCCCGAGAGTGGGCAGACAGCCCCCAGCCCTGCTAGTGCCCGCGACCCTCAGCGGAGCGGGAGCGGGAAGGTCTGCAAGCTGAGGGCCCGCACCTAGCCAGGGAGGGAGGTGCGGTGTGTGCACTGATTTTTTTGTTTTGTAGCTTGGCAGAGACCTCGCCCAAGTTCACGCCGGCCCGTTCTGGACTGTGCTCTGGAAGAGGTGGTGCTGGAATCCCCTACCCCTACTGGAGCTGGACCGTCTGGGGACGGGACCTTGTAGATGTGGCAGCCCCTGGCTTCAGTGAGCTGGGAGGCCCCGGGCAGCAATTCCACTTCTGCCAGAAGTGGGTGTGTCTTCCCATTGTGGGGAGGAAGATGGGCTCAGAGAAACCTTGTGATTTATTTTTGTAGTTCAGTGCTGATTTTAGTGGCTTTCTATTGTGACCTTGCAGTAACTCATTTCATATTTCACCCATGTGGTGGATGAGAAAGCAGTGGCCTGGGAGGTGGCCACCCCAGGGAGTGTGGCAAAGGTGGGACAGCCCAGGCAGGGCCTGCTGCGTCTGTCCTTCCTTTGTGTTCCTCTGCACCGGCTCAGCCTTCAGGGATTCTCCCTGGACTCCAGGCCACCTCCGCCCTACCCGGTGCCCAGCACTCACCCCGTGCTGGCACCTCTAACCACCTCCCAGTTGGCTGGTTTCTTGTTGGGCAGACAGCAGGGAACTTGGTAATGAGATGCCACCTCCAGCCTTTGCCTCTTGGTGAGTGCCTTTCCTTCTTCCACCCCGTGCAACGGCTCAATAGGGAAGACACTGGAGGAGCTGGGAGACAAAGTGAAGCCTGGCGTTGAAGAGTAAGTCCATTGTTAACTCCCAGCTGGGGCAGTCACTCTGCCTTTGCAACTCTCCTGTAAATCTTCAGTTTTTCCTCAATAAAATAAGTTTTTGAAAACCCAGGAAGTTGGCCTTTATCTGCTCTTGACTGACTTCCAGTTCTTGCAGGCCTTTGCTCCTGTTTCCTAAAGCCTTTCCAGGGTCCTCTCACAGCGCTAATAGGGACCAGGGCACTTCCTGGAGTGGGCTCTGCCTGTTTGGAACAGTGACCCCAAGGGCTGCCCTGGTGGACAAGGCCATGGTCACTCACTTCTGCCCCTGGGTCCAGCAGGGGCTCCATTCTCCGGCCAGGACTGCTCAGACTGAAGCCCAGAGGGTCCTGCCGCTGGAGGTCTCTGCATTCTGGAGGCTGAGAGTTGAGTGGATGTTGTGTGTCTGTCTGTCCAGGGCCAGGAGGCCTGGGCTGGGCCTCTGTTCCAGCCACCTGTGGAGGCTCTGAGACTGCTTAACAGGCTCTTGGCTCAAAGAAGTGAGCCAGACAGGGCACGTCACCTCGTTGGAGGTCAGAGGTTATGGAGGGCTCTGTGGGCACCCCACATGAAGTCTGAGTCCAGGCCTTGGAGGACAGAATGCCCATTGGAGTTTATCCAGGGGTCCCATCTCCACACTGATGCCACAGGATCCAAGAAGGCTCTAGAAGAACCCTGGGCTGGGAGTCAGGACACCTCAGCTCCGTGAGCATGTGTGGCCCATCAGGGGCTTGAGGCAGGGGGTCTTCCTGCATGGTGAGAGGTCTGCACAGAGGCCATCAGGTGACCCCGAGAACCCTCCCCAAGCCTCCAGCCTTGCTGTCCCCAGGCTCTGTGTTCTCAGTGGTGAGTTGGCACTTAGCACCTCCACGTCAGACCTGAGCCTGGAACAGAGCCAGCTCCTCAGGCTGCTTGCAGGGTCACACCTCCAGGGTCAGCTGCCGCCCCCAAAGAGGATGGTTCACTCCTGGGGCCCTGTTTCTCTGTTGGCCTCACAGAGCGCCTCAGTTGCCCTAAAATTGTTCACTCCTCACTTAGTTGCTGCGTGCACTTGGTAAGTAGGTACTACACAGAATGATTGGGAGGAAGTCACCTTGTCCCTTTCCCAGTCCTCGCCCCAGAGGCAAGCACTATCCATACGTGGTATCCGCATAACTGCGGGCCACAACAGGAGGCCCAGCCTCCAACGGCTGAACCCCACATTCTCCACTTTCAGTATTGGATTCACGACAGAAGCCAGCACGCGTGTGCGCGCGCGTGCACACACACACACTCACACTCAACCTCTTGCCCCGCTTCTTGACTTGCCTTTTCTGTCTGTACCTGTTCCTCCCACAGCAGGCTGGGCCCTGCCACCTACCCCTGTTTCTCCACAATCAATCTCCCTGTGGGGACTCAGAACCCAGCTCCTCCCTGGCCAGTCACTGCCTCCACACACCACTGTACCCTGCTCACTGCCCTCTGGCCCCTAAGCCCTTCCCATTGGCTCCCTCCTCCCTACAGGCCCTGTACCATCCCGTGGTGCTTCTGTGTCCCCACTCCTTCCCGCAGTACTTCTTGGGGGCACAGCAGCCCTGTCCTTGGTGAAACTGGGGTCTGTACCCAAAACAGTGCCAATATGTGGGTGAGAAGCCCAGGTGGAGGCTGATGAAGAGGAAGTCAGGCCGAGGGGCTGGGGAGACAAGGGAGTGGGGGGGCAGGTGCAGCAGAACCCCTTCCTGACCCCTGGCTGCACAGGGAGGGTGTGGTTCTTGGGCTGGAAGAGGAGTCCCAGGCTTGACTCTTCCCAGGGACCCTCTTCCTGGCCCGCAGGGGTGGTTCTGCTCAGCCAGTCACACAGGCAGGCTGGATTGCAGGGGACATGGGTGGAGGGATTCAGGAGGCTCACGGTTGACCTTTCTGACATCCTACTCTGGCATGGGCTACGTGGAGCTCTCCCAAGGAGACAGCAAAGCTAGACTAGGCACCCCACACCTGCTAGGATGCCTAGCACCAGGCTGAGCAAGGCAAGGAAGGGTGCTGCTCTGAATGCCCTGTAGCCACTGGCCACCAGCCCAAGGGCTGCCGCTGATGGGCACAGTGTTGGGAGGTGGGGGCCAGGCTGAGGTCACTCGGAGCGCACTGGCCTGGGCTGCCCCTTCCCCTGTCCCAGCACAGATCTCACCCACTTGGAAACCTCAAGGGATGTGGCCAGGCGGGCCCTGCAGGCAGGGGTGGACAGTAATGCCCTCAGCTCCAGAGGGTCTGGCCTGCATGATGCAGATAGAGGCCTGGGTGAGCCCTCCGTCTGCCTGCAGCCGAGGCTGCCCTCCGTAACTTATACCGGGACTGTGCGGGGTTTGCGGGGCAGCACCGGCGGCATGTCCTCGGGGGCTGCCCCACTGGCGGGATCTTGGTCCTCCATCTCAATCTCTCAGCTGCTCCCTTTGAGGACACCTGGGGAAACGGCTGTTCCTGGAGGACTGGTGGCTACCACCAGCAAAATCCATGGGCGGCGGGGGTTGTGCGGTGCGCCTGCCAGAAAAGGCGCAAACTGGGGCCCTGAGGCCTGGTGCCCCCTGAGGGCCACCGCTGCTGCAGCCCGCTGCCCCTGGCCCTCGTCCCCTCTCCCGCACCCTTGGCTGTCGGCCAGACGAGGTGCAGGCGAGCACAGCCCGGGCTCGGGCCATCTGCTCGAGCTTCACCTCTGCTTCCTGGGATCAGGCACCTGGGGCCTGTCGGCGGCCAGTGGGCACTGGGCTCGCAGGCACTCTGCCCACAGCTCTCCCGTCGGGCACAGACTGGGAGTTGAGATGCTTCCCAGAGCACGAGACTGCAGCCAGGGGCCAGCAGATGGCGCCCCCGCCATGGGCCCTGAGGAGGACCCAGCTGGGGCTGGCGGGTGTCATTCCCGGGTGGGCCGGTCCCGCCATCGCCGCGGGGCAGCCAGGCGTGGAGCAGGGACCCCGCGGCCACTGGCATGGCTGGGGCGGGGCTGCGCTCCTGGCTGGCCGCTGAGTCGCCACCTGCCGCCCGGGTGACCGAAGCAAGGTGTCAGGGGGAGCGGCAGGCAGCGGCTGTGACCTCAGCCAGTGCTGACGCCGGAGAAGGAGGGGCCGGGGTCAGCCGAGCGCCCACTGAGGAGCTCCAGGGCATGGCGGCTGGCCCGGCCCGGTGTGTGTGCGGCTGGCACAGGAAGCTCAGCCTTAGGGGCACCACGGGGTCATTCAGGCCGCTCTGCCCTCCAGCAGAGGGCACCTGATGACCACTATTTCCGGTGGCACAGCAGGGAAAGGTGGACTGGAGGGGCGGGGCTCAGGGCGCTCAGCTCCCACCCAGACCCAGCTGCTGGGTTTTCTTCTCCCCCCTTGTCTTTTTTGGGGGAAGGCTTTCCCCTTGACCTCTAGCCTACTGGTGGAATTTTTCATTTCATTTATTATAGTTTTAACCTTATTGTTTGGAAATAATTCCAGACTTATCTGGTTTTAAACATTTTGCAACACTTAATCATTCTCTTTGTCTCTGTTTCTGAGCCATAAGGGAGTAGGCTGCAGGCAGGACGCCCTTAGCAGTTCAGTTCTCCCTAACAAGGCATTGTGCCATCTAAATAACGGCACAGGCATCTAAGTCAGGCAGGTGGACCTCAGTCCAGCAGGGCTCCCTCTGCAGCCTGTGCTTCAGTGACAGCCTTATCTCTGCAATGTAGCCTTTTCTCCGGAATCATGTATTGCATTTTATTGTCATAAACTCTCATGTTTTTAATTCCCCAGGCCTCAGTGTTCTCTGGACTGTTTATGACATTAACTGTAGGTGATGAGACTTTCTTGGAAAGCAGACCAGCGCACACATGTGGAGCTGAGAAATGAGGCACACGCCATGGGCACCATGACAGATCATGACAGTGACCAGGCTCAGGACCTTTGTCACCCTTTTCCAGTGAATGGTTCATGTCTGTCTTGTCCCAGCCGGTTTCTGGCACACAGCAGGTGCTTGCTAAGTGCCAGTCGGTCTGAGATGGGAGTCTGGCTCTGGTGGGTGAGCTGAGCCTCTGCAGATGGAGGAGGCACTCTGTGTCTGGCCCTATCTGTGCCTGTGTGAGCGTGCCTGTGTGTGTGCTCATGTGTGCAGATGCACAGGGGCTGCACTGCCTGGGCACAGCTTCGAGCTCATGGCTGTGCACAGTGGGTGTAGGCACACCTGTGCTGTGCACTTCTGTGTCTGTGACACCCGATGGGGAGGAACAACCATGTTCCTCTGGCTGGGGATCTGGTCCTCACTCATGCCTCATGCAGCCAGGGGCTTATGCTTACTACCCCTGTGAATGCCCCCTCCCGCCCAGTAACGTATGCAGCAGGTCCTAGGGTTGCACTGAAGGATCACCCGGTGACATGGGTGGCTGGGCTTGCTGAGACACCCGCATTCCTTCCCTTGTGCTCCTTCTGGAGACCCTTAGCTTTGCTGGGGCCTCAGGTTTTCTAGCAGAACCCAGAGGCCTCTGGTCTCCCCTCCCCGTTTCCTGACCTCTGCAGGTGCTCTTCCCCATGGCAACCTGGTGGTTTTACAGGAGACTGCAAAGCTCTTGCTTGAAGGGGGGGGGGTCAGTAACAGATCCTTGAGTAGCTTCTGTGAGCAATGCTGGGATGGAGACCAGGGCCTTGGGCTCTACCACTGAACTACACCCTGCAAAGCAGCTCTTTCCTTGAGCCGCCCTGCCAGGGGGTGTGGGGTGGAGGGGAGGATGTGCACACTGCACGGTGGGTGTGCAGCTTGGGAGTCTGGGGAGCCCCCTCCCCATATTCTTCATTCCCACACAGACCCCCCTGCCGAGCAAACCTGTCACTCTAAACCAGGCCTTCAGCCTCAGTAAACCTACCCAGGCCAGAGTCAGAGAAGCCCGGCCCGTGCTGGCCCTGTAAGTAGAACTGCGGGTGCAGAGAGCTCAGCCATGAAAAAATCATGAGGCCACAAGCAGGCGGCTGCTTCAGGAGCAGCCCTGGAGCCGCCCTGGGCTCCTGCCAAGCCAGACCCCGGCGGCAGGGTAGAGGTGACAGGACCCAGGGGTGAAGAAGTCAGAGCCTGGGGACAGAAGGCCAAGGGGATACCAAAGGTCCAGCAGGG